CACAGTGGGGTGGGCAGGAATGCCTTTCCACTGAGACCCTTCCTGCTCCCTGGGAGGTGACAAACGACAGGGACTCCCAGAATCGTCAGATGGGGCAGGGGGCAGTCAGTTCAGTCCCTCTCCACACTCTGGTCCTGGCCCTAATTGGCCTTGGGCAGCCTCTTCCTTTCCCTGGGCCTCTGTTAGCTCCTCTGTAAAATGAGGAGGTTGAACTAGGTCAGTGACTCTCAGACTTGAGAACTCATCACCTAGAGGGGTGTGTTCAGACACGAAATGCTGGGCCCTGGCCTGAGTGGCCGTTCGGTAGGTCTGGGTGGGCCCCGAGAATCTGCATTTCTAACAAGTTGCCAGGTGATGCTGGTCTGGGGACCATGCTTTGGGAATCACTGCACTAGATCATGTCTGAGCTCCAATGGGAAATTACGGTTTCTGATTTTGTGAAAAAGCCCTGTTAAGACCCCTATGACTTCCAAGGTCCAGCAAAATTGTGCATATGGCTGTCCTGTGCCTGGATGACCACGGCTCGGGGAGAGACATGTGTGATCTAGGGTCACTGACAGCTGCCCCTGTTGAGGCAGGTTTTGCTGCCTGAGCTTAAAGGATGGATACTGGGGCACAACCTGGTGCAGGACCCCCAGCCTGGTATCAGCGTGTTCCAGTGTAAGTTTCCATCTTAGCCCAGGGGGCAGGTCATGTGGTTATGTTTAGCAGGCTCTCCTGCTGGGCGGCTGCCCTCCTGCAGAGTCTGGGCGGGGTGGGGGGGCGGGGCTTCTGGGTAAAGCACCTGTGGTTGCAACGAACAGAGACCCCTCCTGCCAACTCCAGTCATCCGGGGGTTACTGAAAGGCTGCAGGGAAGTCTCACAGCCCCAATGGCAGGCAGTTCAGGGAACCAGAAGGAGGAACAGCATCAGAAATGGAGCCTATTCTCCCCCACTGAGGGGCCTCCCTCTTCTCATGACTCATGGTCAGTCTGTCTGTCTGTCACCGTGTCTGCAAGTCTCCTGGCACATCTGCTCCCTTCTCCCCGACACCCATCCTCTTGGATCTGCCCAGCCTCCAGCACCCACTGTCTCCCAGCTGTCCTCTTGGGAGAATCTGATTGGCCCCAGGCTAGCCAGCCAATGGTCTGGCTGGCTTTGGATCAGGTGTCCAGCCCAGATCCAATCAGCCTTGGCTGGGAGAGGCGTGGGGGTGGGACAGACAGTGACAGACAGCTAATTCAGTCCAAGGGCAGTGGAGCCCCGTTGCTGCTGTTTTTCTTGTGACTATATTCATGGCAACCAGAAGGCAAAAGCCCCTCTCATCCTCACCTGTCTTAAAAGTCAAAAATAAAACCCAGAATACATCCTTGAGCTTCTGGTCCCCCTCCAGCTATGTCACCCCAGTTCTCTGCTTGTCCTTCTGCTGTCCTCACTCCCCCAGCTACCCAAGGTGCCCCATTCCAACCTCTCACCTCCTTCCTGACCTTGAATGTTGGCCTGTCCAGGGGCTCAGTCTCAGTCTACACTCTCCCTGAGAGCGTCCAGTCTGTGGCATTAATGCCCTTTATAAGCCCATGATTCCCTTGGTCCTCCCCTGAGCTCCATGCCAGTATACCCACTGGACATCCCCACCAGGAAGAGCAAGTGACAGCTACTTGAAATAGTTCCCGGGGCTTCAGGAAAAAACTACCACAGTTCAGTGGCTTCAGACAGCACACATTTATGCCCTCACAGTGCTGGAGGCCAGAAGTCTGAAATCAAGGTGTGGACATGGTCAGTTCCATGCCTCTCTCCCAGCTCTGGTAGGATGGCTGGCAGCCACTGGTGTTCCTCGGCTTGTCGCCGCATCACTGCCTCTGTCGTCACGTGGCCTTCCTCCCTGTGTCTTCCTGTGTCTCTTCCCGTGACCTTCTCATAAGGACACTAGTCATCAGACCCACCTTAACCCAGTATGATGTCATCGTAACTACTTTCATGTGCAAAGACCCCATTCAAAACGAGGTCACATTCTGAGGTTCCAGGTGGACATGAAATTTGGGGAGATGCTCTTCAGCCCAGGACAGCACCCCCCACATATAACGTGCCCCAAACAGATCTCTCCATTTGTTCCTGCCTCCCCTTCACCCCGCACCCCCCTTATCCTTCCCATCTCAGTAATTAGCCCTACAATCCACAGGGTTGCTCAGGCCCCACAGCTAAAATTCATCTTGAACCTTCTC